AACTAGTTCTATGTCTTGTGTATTAAAATATTTTTGACCATTTTTTTGTTTCCTAATTTAGAGTATAATGGTTTTACTAATTGTCCTAATTTTCGAATAAAATTGTGACCGTAATTTAATAATCCTAAAAATGCTTGTAATAACTTGGTTTCTTCTAATTTATTAGGAAAACTTAAATTTTTTTTGACAATATGTGATTGTAATTCTCTTTTTCCTCCTTTTATGAATAAACCTAGAAATTTGATTTCTTGTTTTTCTAATATCATCTTTTTACTACTTATAATGAGTTTTTGTGTTATAAATTCATTTAATATTATCTCAAGATGTTTTCTATGTTCTTATTTGGTTTGACTGAAGACTAGAATATCATTGATATAAACACAATAGAATTTTGAATGTTTATTAAAGATGGTATCCATTTTTTGTTGGAATTCTTGTGGTGCGTTGTTTAAACTGAAAGGCATAATAAGCCATTCATAATGTCCTTCAGGACAGGCAAATGCAGTCCATTCGATAGATTTGTTTGCCATATGGATTTGCCAAAAGGCTGACTTACAGTCAAATTTAAAAAACCATTTTTTATCTTGTATTCTATTTATTAAAATATCTTTATTAGGAATTTTATAACTGTTATCATATGTATTATCATTTAATCTTTTATAATTGATGACATATGAGCTTTTACTCATTTTATTTCTGTATGATTTCTGACCATAAAGGCTAGACTCTTATGTCTACTATTACTTTTTCTTACTACTTTTAGCAATAGAAGTTTTTTAATTTATTTTTGGAATTCTTTTTGATCTTCTAAAGTATGAGGATTATCTTAAGTTTTTATAGTTATAAAAGGATTTATTATATTTAATTTTGCTTAGATTTTATTTTTATACCAGTATTTCTGGGGATCATTTCCTAAAATCTCAGTAGTTTCAGCTAATCTTAAAAGATTATCAATGTTTAGTTTATGATTTTTAAGTATAGCTTTGTTATCAATGTTTAGAAATATTTTCTAAAAATTCGGTTACATCAAATAAGTTTTCTGTAATTTCTTTTGTCATAGGTAAAGTATTGACATACGTAATAGCTCTTTTTTTCTTTATGAGGAATATAAGGAGGGTTGTATGGAATAAAAATTCATTTTTTAAAGAACTGTAAACCCGTAGGGGTATACATGAATCCTCTGGTGAGTGAATTTATGAAATTTAATCATAAAATAAAATCATAAGTACTAGGAATATTATTAACTACATAGGTTTGTGGTAAAATAAATTTTTCATTGTTAATTAATATAGGAATAATTTGAACACAGTGAGGTATTGGGAGTTTTTGATTATTATACTGACTCATATTAACATTATAGTTTAATTTTATTAATAATTCTTCTGGTACTAAATGCTTTTAAATTATGCTTTTAGATGCTCCAGTATCTAACATAGCTGATGTTTGAACTAAATTTTCCTTAAATTCTAAAGTTACTGGGAATTGGATTAAACTAGATGGTTTATATATTGAATGTATAGATTTGACTAGAGTATCTTTTTGCTTATCTTCATATTTTGAGTAATAGACATGACATAATAAAGTTTTACAATGGTCTCTACAGTAATGACCTTCTTTAATGGATGTATTACATTGTTTACAATCAAAAGATGAGAAATGAAAATTAACTAAAGTATAATGACATAATGAATTGCTTATCGTGTAGACGAAATCTTCCATTGAATTAAGTTCTTGCTCAAAGTCATCATCATTATCGAAATCGTTATCTATGCTTTCGATACTAAATATATTTTCATTATCATCTTCAGAATCATAAATACTTTCTAATTCATATAATTCTTCTATTCGTTCTTTAATATCTTCAAGTATATTATTTTTTCTTGTATCCTTTGATAGGATTCTGTTTGTATCTATTGGGGCAATTTGGCCTTATATGACCTGGATCTCCACAAATAAAACATTTACAATTTCTTTCTTTTATGGGTAATGTGTTCACTTTATTATCTTTTTTATTATTATCTTTATTTATTTTCTATTTTTTTATACCAATGACGTTTTTTGAATTGTCTGGGGTTATTTTTGAACTAAGGTTTTTTGTTACGATAATTTTTGTAGGTTTTGCTTTTGCGTAGATTATATTTTTTAGGTTTATTATGCTTATGGTTTAATTTTTCTGGGGCATACAACCATACTGTGGTGGAAAGTCTATTTCCCTACATGTATAATAAAATTGTTTCTTAATTTGTTTAGATTCTTTACGTTGTCTGCATTCTGCTTTTAACATATTATAAACATGATGTACTCTATCTCCTATAGTTAATCCATCTCTTCTGGGATTTTTTAACCATTTTCCATATCTTAGTTCCTACACTTCTTGGTAATTTCTAAAGATACCTATCGATTAATATTTTATCTCCTGTTTTACCTATGGCTGCGAAATACTCGAAAAACTTATTAGTATAATTCCTTATATATCTAAAATCACAAATCTGTAATAATTCTAGATTACGCAAAGCTTCGTTTTGCTTTATTTGAGTTTCGTTTAATAATCTATCTTCTCCTACTAACACCTTTTTTTTATTAAGCTAGTAAAACATTATATTGTAAAATTATCACATAGGAGAGCATAATCATTAGGATAAGTCACTTTGTAGGATTGCAACCAATCATAGATTGTTCCCCTTAATAAAGTTTCACAATAAGCTAGTTAGGGCTTGTATTTTATTATCAAAATTGGTTAGAATAGATTGCCTAATACAGTCATGTTTCTAATTTTCGATTACTTTTGCCTAATCTTGAGGATCGTGTCGTGATATGTCTAGTATTGTTTCTGCTTGTTGTGCTGGTATATTATTGTAACGTCTACGATTTTGTGTCCATGTGTCAATGTCTGGTATATTTCTATTTTCTACATAGATTTCTTGTGTGGGATTTAACCATGGTCCAGTGGTATAGTCATCGTTTATGGTATTAGTACTACCTGTGGCGTTAGGCATTTCTTGGTCAACTGACCCTGTAGGTTGGCCTTGAGAGGTTGATGTTTCTACTATATCTTTTCCTTCTTTATGTTCTGCGACATTTCATTCTTTTTTTAAGGTGTTTAATTCGTTCTTTGTGTAAAAGGATTCGAATCCTACAGTTAAAATATTTCTTTTAATGTCTTCATTATTTCCCTATCCTAGGTAAATGCTTTCTACCAGTTCATACTTAGGTTCTGGATATTTATCATTTAGATCATCTATCTCAAAATTATCAAAATCAAACTAATTTTATCTAGAATTTCATTTTCTAGTTTATCATAGAGGACATTAATTTTTTCGGGAGATTCTATTTCAACTAGAGTTGTTACAAAATTTTCTTCATTATTATTATCTATTAAATTATCTTGTAGTTTATAATTACTGAAACATATATTGGCATCTCCGGTATGTTTTACATATATTTTATTATTTTCGGAAATCTTTTGGATTGTCTTATTAAGATTTGGTAATTCCTATTCCGTTCCTTCGTAGGTTTCACTACTCACTTTCCTAACTTCAATTATTTGAACATATTTACTACTAAATGGTTTATCTATTTCGTCAAATTGAGCTTTAAACTTTAGGTTATACTGATTAATTGTTTTTCCCATAAATAAAGTATTAATTAATAAGTTTTCATATTGACCTGCCATATTATATCCTTTTGTAGATATTGCTATCTTAATATGTTTACTAAATTCTCTAGTAGACATTGTGTAATTAGGAATACATTCTACAATGGCTGCGTTAACTACTAAATCTACTTCTGCGCTAGCTATTTGTGCTTGTTGATAGTTAGTCCATCTATCATTTTAAATATAAACAAGTGCTTTAGTTCCTACCTCTGATCTATTTAATCCTACTCTGCCTATCATTATAACACCTAAATGCATAAGATCTAATTTAGTTTTTTCTAATTCATGATAAGCTTCTGGTGTTATGAGATCCAATATTACTTGATTATTTATTTAACTTATTCTTCTTTGGCTAAGATGATTATATTTTTTACTCTGGAAATGTAACAGATTATTGGAATAAGGATTAACTTTATTGGGTACTTTCTTCATTCCTTTTTCTATATAATTTTGAGTATCTTGTTCATTATCATATAAATCTTCTACACACATTAGTTCCTTGGCTTTTCTAAGAATAATGGCTATTCTTTATATGGTTGTAATAGATTTATTCGCTTGGTGCTTTTAGTCGAGAAATGATTAGTTGATAATTTTAAATTTTTTTATTTTATCTGAGAGCTCAGCTATTTCTTTAGAAGATTCTCCAGGAATACTCTCTTGTAATTCCTCTAATTTTTCTTCAAATTTATTAACCTTTTCAGATAATTGGAGTAATAGCTGGATTAAAAAGTTGTTTTGTCTAATATATATATTGGTTGATTTTACGTCTATCGTAAAACTTATAAATCCTATAGGTTTTTTTTTTTATCTATTTTATAGAGCTCAGCTAATGCTTGTAGGCAATCAGGATTACTAGTGCTCATAAATTATTGTAATAACCTTTGGATATCTTCTTTTAATGATTTTAAATAGTCTATAATTATTTTTTGATTTTCTGCAATATCTTTTATATCACTATTTATATCTTGAATGGCGGAAATTATTATTTTATTATCTAAATTTCCGGGACTAGACTTTTGTTCAACTGTTGTTTTAATATAATCTAAGTTTTCTCCGAATCGTTTTATCGAGGTGTCTAGGTTATTAAAATCTATTATGTTCATAAACCTAACTAAAATATTTGTCGTCTAGCTTCCAGAATATTCTGTACAAGAATAATTCTAGATCTAAGTTTTTCTATTCTTCGTTGAAGGTTATGTGTTGTATTTCTGGATTCTCGTGAAGTGTAACAGTTCTTAAGTGTTATTTGAAAATATTCTAGAATTGCTAAAAGTTCTTCTTTGGTTAAATTGTGCATAAAATAAACTTTTAGGGGTGAAAATATAATTTTTTCTTATAAAAGGGGTTCAATTAGAAAGTTTCTACCTTTAGTTCATGAAATAGTAAATGTACAAACTATGTCAATGATCTAGTAATATATTTTTGCTACCACCACTTATACGTAAAAGTCCCATAAAACAAAGAGAAAAAGAAAATTAAAAATATAAAAAAAACAAAAGTTAGCTAGTTCTTATAGGACCAAGCACATGTTATGGTTTTGAAGGCCAGTAAATCAAGTCCCACTCTGAGGCAGACCGTTCGTGGTTATTTTTTCAGAGCCTCCAGACAAGGACCTATCTTCGAAGCCCATCTGTTGCTTTTCCATTTTCTGTTGCTTCGTGGATTTGTAGAAAGTGGCATAGAGTATCAGTTGGGCCAGCCCAAACAACGCCCCCAGCCCATTAGGTGCCTGAAACATAAAACAACAGCTCCAATCAAGATTAAACATATAATACGTTGGGTTGATTCCGGTGGTAGCTTTGTACCATTAATTCCCCAACTCCAATCAAGATGAAACATATAATACGTTGGGTTGATTCCGGTGGTAGCTTTGTACCATTAATTCCCCAACTCCCAACTCCCAACTCCCAACGTTCTTGTTAAAAAATAATAATAATAATAATAATAATAATAATAACAATTTGGTCTCGATGGTGGGATTATGTGCACTCATCGTGGTGCATGCAATACAGTGCATCACAATGTATGTCACAAAATATGCCAATCCAACAAATTTAAAAAGGTTATTCAACACATTTATATAAAAAATAGAATACCCATATAAATGATATTAAATCGAGAATTTAACATGTTTACATATATAGTTGTTGCATTGTTGATTTGAAATTGTTGTATTTACAATTTAAAGTTATTGCATGCACATATAAAGTACTTTGTTACATTAAATATATGACGTAAATGTTCAAAGTCGAGTTCTCAAAGATAAATTAAAACAACCCAATCACTCGGCTAGGAAGACATTCACAATTATTCATTGAATCGAGAGACTATAATAACGAGTTTCCAAATTCAAAGGTTGTGATCACACATACCCCTGAGTGAGTGAGTGTTTTGTGTGCGTGTGAGAGAGAGAGAGAGAGTTGAATACCTATAGAAATTAAAATGCTTAACATGAGAGAGAGAGAGAGAGAGACTTACAGCGATGAAGGGATCAAAACGGATGAGGGCATAACAAGTCCAGCTAATGCTATTGGCGAAAGAAGCCAGTGAGAGAAAAAGTGGCATATACTCCACACTTTTTGTCATAATCACCAACTTCTGCATCACACAATTTTTTATTTTATTTTTAATTCAAACAAACCAATTAATTAAATGGGTAAAGTACATTGACACCCCTCGAGGTTTGGGGAAAGGACAAGCAGAGGAAAGTTAGCATGTTTTTGGACAATGACACCCCTTCAAGTTTGAAAAATGGACAAAGAGACCCTGAAAATGGTGAATTGACCTTATTACCCTTTCAAATAAAATTAATATTTTAATTGACTTAAATACCCTTTGATTAAACCCAAACCCGAAACCAAACCCGAACCCGAACCCGCCTGCGTATATTATACAGTTCACCAGAGGAGAGAGAAGGGAGATCAGATGGATGGTGGTTGTGGCCGCGGTGGTGGGTGTAGAGAGAGGGGGAAGAGAGGGGCGGCCATAGTTGAAGAGATGAGGTGAAGAGGAGAGAGAGGAAGAAGCATCGGCAATGACTGTGACAGTGGCGGCGGCGGCGATGACTGTGACAGTGGCGGCAAAACCCAGAAGCATCGGCGAAACCCTGAAATTGCCGGCGAGGACCAAGCTCCGATGACGATGCGGCCACGGACTGAATAGTGTGGCGAAGTTTAGAAACCGAGCAACAAGAGATCGACGAGCAAAAACAATCCGGCGAGGACCAAGCTTTGATGACGACAAGGTTCAGATAAGCACAGTCCGGCGACCGTCACCTGCAAGGCCGAGGAGGCTGAAGTGGGCATCGCTTCTGCCGTCCGTTTTGAGTCCAATTAGAGTCCTTTTCCGTGCGAAGGTGAGAATTGGGGATGGTGATGTGCACAGATGAGGGGGTGATATATATGTGTGTATGTGTGTGCGTGTGTATGAGAGAGGGGAAGAGGGTGGTGGCGGCGGCGGCACCGATCTCATCCTCAAATCTTCCCTGCAGGCTCAAACATCAACTCTCTACTGCTGTCAAGAATGAAAGACGCCGGCGTGGGGAACGTCTCTGTCAATCCCGGTCAAACCCGGCTTGTCCAAGGCCGAGTTCGCCGCCCGAACCGAGGCTGAGCTCCGGTGAGGTAGAGGAGGTGGCAGTGGCAGAGCTCCTTTTTGGCGTCTTCTTTAGTGGGTGGTGATTATGGAGGTTGGGGGTTGGTGGAGATTGGGGGCGGTGGTGACTGGTTGTTGGTGTGTGTGTGTGTGTATGTGTGTATATATATATATAAGTATATATGAAAAGGGTATTTTGGCCATTTAAGTTTTAAATATTTTATAATTAAAATTAATAAAATAGTGAAGGGTAAAATGGACTTTTCACTTGATTTAAGGCTCTGTTTGGAGGACAAATTTCACAAGGGGGTGTGTTTGTCCAAAAACAAGCCAACTTTCATCTGTCTGTCCTTTCCTCAAACCTCAGGGGATCTCTTTGTACTTTACCCTGATTAAATTAAGGATCTAGAAAATATTCTGATAATACATTTATAATTTGTATAAGATGGTACGTGGATTATGTTAAAGTCCTTCTACAAGAAAGTCGATCCGTATATGCATGCTCCTAATATAAGCACTAAGCAGCTATATTACTCCCAAAATATAATGAATGTTATATGCATATATATATATAGATATATATATATAGGTATACATTTTTTTGTACATATATATAGATGTATGTCCTTTTATATACAAGGGAAATGCATGCAATTAAATAAATTTAATGGTGGAGCTAGGGAGGGAGATTAAATAATTATTACGTACGTACCATGACTGATAATGGTGAAGCATAGACCAAAATGTTAGCCAACACGCAAATGGTTCCGACAATGGTAGAGCGAAGCTTGATGGAATGGACTAGATTGAGAAGCAGAAGGCCAAGAAGGAGCAGGAACAGGAGCTGAGCAAGCGTTATTAGTAGCAGTGTAATCCTCTTGTTTCGATCACTAGTGTGAGTGACATAGAGGACCACGTACACGAGCTCCATAACAAGTCCGGAGCCATTAATGGTTATGAGGAGGAGGCTATGAGCGTTCACCATGGGTAGTCCATACAACCCCCAAAGCCCGCAGTTTATAAAGCTTGCAAGGTAAGGGATGGCTGAGTACTGTTCCACTGATCCCTTCTTCCATATTTTAATAAATGTTGGCCTGCATACAATATTAATTATTAAAACAAACTCTTCCATCAAATTAATTTATACAAAAAGAATTTCTTCGCCAAGTAACATACAAGACCTCGAAACCTGTCCAAAAGAGTTAAAAGTACAAATAGATTCAAAATCCAAAACTTTTCAGTATTGTTAATTCATGAGTCTAGTTTCTAAAAACCCAAGTCTTAAAATTATATCGGCTCCCTAAACACCAAGCAGCCCAAAGTTCGTCACTTGGTTTAATTTTAACCCAAGCTGTACAAAAGCATTCTTTCTTCAAAAAACAGTTTTGATTGGCCACCATTCAGCTTCCGTGAGTGTCCCAGCCATGTTACACCTTAAGTGTAGCTTCCAAAGAATTTTGGTTTGCTTCGTTCCAAATAAAATTGATTTTTCTATAAATTTTGTATTAACTGCTGCGCAGATCTTTCTTCTTACTGAGCACTGCTGTTCCAATTTTTCATTTTAACCTTACTAATCGCGCCCTATGGTCTTGGGACGTGACAAATTTTCGCACACACATAAATTATATATATATAGTTGTACTTGTTTCTTAATTAATAAAGAATTGATGAATTCAAAATTACCCCTCTTTCTATAAACTTGATCAATCTAAAGATATATTGGGTGCTTCCCTACTTAATTTTCTCAAAATAATATAGGCCAGCCAGGAGTGCTTATATTATTGCAATAAATTAAATAGAGAAAAGCAAGCTTACACTGGTGACAAGAACAAGATGAGTGCAGTGATGTTCCCTGAAAATGAACCAAGCAAACCCATCTCAAACTTATTTTTTCAAATTTTTTGACAATATAATTAATAGAAGTAAAATAAAAAAATATTGTTCAAACACAAAACATGCAGTTCTCTATAAAATAAAAATAAAAAAATAAAGAAGTGATTTTAGAAAATACAAATAAAAAAACAAAACAATCAAAGTATTTGCACTTAGATACCTAAAGCTAAAACGTGTTCTCTATGTTGTAAAATTCAATTAGCGTAATCTATGTATGACGTACCTAGAATGCCAACTAGTGTTCGAGTAGTATCTCTAGAAATCATGGCTGTGACCAGAAGATCGAGAAAAGATTAAAGAGAGTTTCAGAGCACGGAGGAAATAGAGTACGTGAATATAAAGAGCTAGACAGGGTTATATACAAGGATAAAGAAGCGTGAAATTTTCTTCACAAAGGCCAATTTCTACGTAATCACTAGTTTTGGACATGCACGGATTTTTTCTTCGTAATGAATGATTTGTGCCTAATTACTTTTTGTTTAAACTGAATTACAAGCTTCACGCAATACTTGTTCATAGATATTTTTATTTTTATTTATATATAGGAATAAAAAGTGTGAAATTTAAATAACACCCATTTGAGTAGTAGGTGAGGTGTAATTATTATAGTTCTTCCATTGATAAATGAAAAACTACCCTTTTGAGTAGTAGGTGAGGAGTAATTATTATAGTTCTTCCATTGATAAATGAAAAACTTTCCCAGTTATTGAAAAAAAAAAAAAAAAAAAAAAAAAAAAAAAAGAAGTAAAGAAAACACATATTTAGTCAAAGATCCAGCCCAACAGTGGAAGGTTGATGATTCGTTTAATAATTAAATTAGGTTTATCAAATCATGATGGATCTTTTTAATTCATTGACTTCATAAAATCGTCACTATCGCGTCATCGTGGATAGGTTAGTCACAATTATGATGTGAGCTTGTCATGCAACTAGTGTTCCCAAACTTTTGATTAATTCTGGAGGGCGGATTGTATTAATTGCATTTTATACAAGCAAAGTTGAAGCATCATATCGTAAATTACATATATCTACGTTAATAAGATTGTATTTTATTTTAAAAAGTCTTACAATGTGCCGGTGTTTAATTAATGAATGATATCATGTCATCAATATTTTAATTAAAGAATGATATAAGAGTGACTATGCATGATTCTTTATAAATAGAAATAAGTCAATTTTGAATGCTCAGCTTTGGCAATTTTAAGTCCTTTCTGTTGGTCTCACTTTTGAATTAGGATTTGCCTTTTTAAATGTCAAAAAGTCTGTTACAGGTTCACTACATTGAGTTCTAAGTGATTGTTGTATGCACAATGCATATTATTGATCTTCAGGGATAGCTTGGTCATTCCACATTGTTAAGAAGACTATTCGACTGGTCTAAAAAAGGCAAATTGTGTTGAAGACTCGCTTTGCAGGCCATTTAGGGGTACAAGCCCAGCACATACAGAAGTTAATATTTGGCTACAGATCACTGCAGGGCAATTAAGTCTTTTCACATATGTATTATATCATATTGTATTGAATTGCTCATATTCTCTAGTTGATCAAGTGTTCACAGTCACAGCTACAGAAGACAATGTATATTGACAAGTGTCACTACAAGGGCATTTTGGCCAAAATAAATTGTTGAGCATTCTTGTGACACGTGCCATGTGGTCGTAGTGTGAGAATATACAGGTTGTTATTCATTACTTAGTTATTAAGCTTGTTATATATTCATATACATATACATACATAAGTCGTCAATTAGCTTGCATGCTAGATGATACTTTCTGTAAAGGTGGCAGGGGTATTATAGTACATTCACAGAGGGAATTACATATTATTTTATGGCCAATGATTGGATAAGTGTGACAGGTATATTTCCTCTGTGAGACGGGATTTGTATTCAAGGGCTACTAGGGTTTAAGCCTTCAAGAAAAATTCTAAGCCAAGTTACATTGTGTGAGAAATGAGAGCTGAATATGAACACACATTTCTGAGATTGTTTATAATAATCAAAGCTTGATTTAAGCTCAAGAATACACTCAGAGTAAACATAAGATTAGAAGATCAAATGGAGGCCTGTTGTTGTGATGTTTGCTGGTGCAGAAGCTGGTTTGGAGATCTAAGTTTGGTTTGAGCTTGCTATGGTGTTGAAACAAGGTTGATGCAAGTGTAACTTATCATTTTACATTTGCAGAAAGTATGTTTGTGACCATCTTTTAGGTGCATTTAATTTTGATGTCTCAGACATGTGTTTTAGCCTTTTTATTGGTTTAGCTTGTTGATCTGAACTTAATATCACTATATCTTGATATGAGTTGCATTATTATCATCTGAGCAAGTTTCGATAGTTGAATTAATGCTGTTAAAGTTGAGGTTTGCATAGAAATAAGGTTAATACATATTTTGACCATGTGAAACCCTAGTTCTTGAAAGTTCTGCAGAACTGAGCCTAAATCAGAATTGTAATTGTGTATTCATGTTATATTCATCTTGATTATCATCCAAACATGTTTGTATTGAAGATATAAGGTTGAGGATTTCATCTCTAAGTTTGTAGGACATAAATTTCCTAGTTTACCCCCCCAAACCCTAGTTTCTGCAGAATGAAGGCAAGGTGTTTGTATTGATACTTTGAGTAGGTTATTCATTCTTATCTTGTGTAATAGCTTGAGTATTGTTATAATACATCTTTTTATATGTATTTGGTGAGGTGTAAGAGCTTGCAGGGTCTAAGAAGGGTTGCTTAGGATAGGGAGAGTGCAGAGTGTACTCATCAGTGCTACTGTGTGTAGAGGCTGTAAAAACTAGTGTTTCATCTTGTACAATGGTGTGTGCAAAGAATGAGATATGTGAGTGTGTAACTAGTTTCATACAACTAGTGGAGATGTTATTGGCTGAGGTCAAGAACCAAGTTTTTTCCCTATTTAAGAGGGTTTTCCTTATAAATACACTGAGTACTTAGGGCCTGTTTGGCATGCGCTTTGTTTTAGGCGTTTTATTTTTTACTAAAACAGAAACAATGTTTTTGCTGTAGGAGTGTTTTGGAAAAAAATCGGAAGCACGTTTGGGAACAATGTTTTGCTGTGGAAATGTCGAAAACAGAAATATGCAAAATATAGTTTTGGGCCATGAACAATTGTCAAAACAAGAAAAAATAATTTTTTAGTATTTTGGTTTTGGGTCACTATTCACAAAGTATTTAGCATTGTGTAAAATAGAACAAGGCTACACTAAACATGCTTTCGTTGTCAAAATTGACACTGTAGCAGTCCAAAAACAAAAACAGCAAAAATAAAATACATGCCAAACGGGACTTTATAAGTGTGTGTAAGCTTGTTGAATCTGTCATCATCCCTGTGACATTGTATTGATCAAACAAAAAAGAAAAGTTTATATAAGAACCATTTCGCACTACAACAAAATACTCATTTGGTGGCAAAATTTTAACAGCAATTATAAAAAAATGCTGCTATTTATATGTTTCTAACAGCATTTTTAGTAAGTGCCGCACTTGATTGCTGTAACAATAAGGGCCCATTTTTTATTTTTAATTTTCATTATTCACATTATTGTTGTAGGCCCTTTTTTTATTGGGAAAATTACATATAAATGGAGTCAAAGTTCCATATTTACTTAGAGGCTGAGTCAAAGTTCCATATTTCTCTAAAATGGATTGCTGAGGTGGCACATGGTTTTTTACTGTTTAGAAATTGTGGTGCCTAAAATACCCTTCCGCGGAGGTACTACTTTTTCTTCGAAGGTACTACTTTTTTGAACTGAAGGTACTACTTTTTGGTGTCCAGGTACCATGTTTTTTAAACACCCGCGAAGATACTACTTTTTCTTCGAAAGTACTACTTTTTTGAACTGAAGGTACTACTTTTTTGAACTGAAGGTACTACTTTTTTGTTAGGGAAGGGCATTTTAGGCACTACAATTTTCTAAACAGTAAAAAATCATGTGCCACCTCAGCAATCCATTTTAGAGAAATATGGAACTTTGACTACGTCTCTAAGTAAATATGAAACTTTTAACTCCATTTATATGTAATTTTTCCTTTTTTATTTTTATTATTCATTTTTCTTTTTTCATTTTTCATTTTTCATTTTCCAATCGCTCCTCACTCTCTCTCTCTTTAGCTCAACTCAGGCTCTCTCTCGTAGCTCCTCGCTTTCTCTCTCTCTACCCCCAATCCTCTCTCTCTCTAGCTCGACTTAGGCTCTCTCTGGTCGCTCCTCGCTCTTTGCTCTTCAATTGAGAGCTTGATTACATTTGATCTCCCAAAATTATACTGCGAACATAGTCCAACGATCATCGGTTGTGGTATTTGAGCATATATTTGGTTGTGCTATTTGATTTGGGAGCCAAATCTATATCTGATTTGCCAAAATAGGCCAACGATCATCGCCGTTATCTCCATTTTTTTTTCCACTCGCAGGTAAATTTCACAAGCATTGCTCCTTTTTGTTTGAATTCATTATTTAATTGGGGATTGATGTTATTTATATGGGTGTTAAGATCTCACTTTCTCTCTCCACTCCCGTTCTTCAATCTTCTCTTTCTACTCTCGCCCTCACTTCTTCGCTCATCACTATTTCTCCTAAATCAGTCGGCGAACCCTAGGTTTTTCACTCTTCATCATAATTTGTTTTTATTGGATTTCATGCTCTAATTAGGCATTAATGTTAATATTGTAGGAATCTAAGAGTTTCATCACTTTCTACTGGTTCGTTCTCTCTCTTTATTGGATTTTATGCTCTAATTAGGCATTTAAGTTGTCCACCCAAAGTAGACACATTGTTGCCGAATTATCCAGTGTTGTGTTTAATTTGGATTTCGTTTATTGTGTGTGATATGCTTTCTCTTGATAAAGATGAAGAGAAATATTGTATATGTTATTTACACAAAACAGTTAAAAATTCGAGTATCAAATTTATCAAAAGAAAAAACATATATCCTAAATATAGAAAGCCAAAATGCGTTGAAAGTAGCAGTGACCTGAAAATAATTAGGATTGAACCATGCTGAGACGGCCAGAATCATGGATGATAGATAAAGGAAGCCTTTCATTTTCAATATACCCAATTGAAAATCAATGGCAATCCTCAATACTTTCGCTCTTTGAGACTTAATATCTCATTTAGTGTTAACATTGCCAATTTATGGATCCTCCTATGGTTGGTCACGGTGAAGCTCTTTAATTTTTCTATATTTAGTGATTATAAAAAGTGATATTCTGAATATATAAGTCCTTTAAATAATTGATATGGTTATCTTAAGCTAGGTCCTTAGAGTGCGAAGAAAATTGAAATGGCTTGTGCCATTGCTGAAATTTTATTTTGTTGAGTATTATGCAGTACAAGACTTTGCCATCATGTCTTCCTTGTCATGTTGAAGTTTTTACCAACCTCTCATAGTGTATTATGGTATTGTCAGTACCCTTTTTGTGACTGAAAACTTGTCTTTAGGCTAGTCAATTATAGTTGGATTTGTGTCTTTCAAAAACCTCACTCAACTTTGGTTCTTCTTAATTCCAGTAGAAATGAGTTTGTTTTTGTGTACATGTAGTGCTGACTTGCAGTTATATGTAATCCTAAAGACCTACTTTTTGGTCAAAGTAAAATTGAAATAATTATGTTTTTAATTAAGAAGAAGATCTCAACTGTTGCAATATTAATTAGTTAATTGGTGTAAAGATTAATTATGTAGTTCTTTTTAAGTTCAAAAGTTTCTCACTAAGGATTTTACTTTTATCAATGTATTATGATGTTTGTGCATGTATTTTGGTGAAGTATAAGAAACAAAAATAGGGCACATGAGAATGACACCGCAAGCATCGAATTAACTATGTGGGTGTGGTAGAGACAAGGTGTCTTTATTTGTCTTCTTTCTCTTGCTATATACTCATTTGTCTTTTAATTCCTATCCTATCCTAGCATATATATATATATATATATACATATATATATAGTAAATATCTCTATCTCTATTCTCATCTGCATCTTTATGTGAGCCTTTTTTTACATTTAATACACACACTCAATTGAAAAACTAGACTCTCTTCTACATGAAGCTACCGATTTCATTTTACATCTTTCAAATGGAAGTTAGTGGTAAAGGTTGCAAAAACTACTCTCTTTGATATGAAGCTACCAATTTCATGTATCATACTTGCATGTACTCTATAACCTACTTGCCTTTGTAGTTTCTTCAATCACATTGCTTATAGTTGCCACTTTAGGGAGACAAATTTGGATAGGAGTTGGATTCACATATCATGGTACAAATTTTAGAATACTTTTCCTTCCATTTTATATGGTTTATAAGCTTATAACACATGTTTAACGAGTTAACTTTTTATTTTTATTTTGTGTTCGATAATATCAGAGTGAGCGAAGAATACGTTGAAGGAGTTGGAAACTTTTTGGATTTTGCATTTTCTAATGCAGCTAAAGAGGGGATGATCTTATGTCCATGCACTAAGTGTAGCAATTGCGCGCTTTTGGAAGAATCGTCAAGAAGTATTAAATCATGTTATTGCAGATGGATTTCTTAATAATTACACATGTTGGGTGTTCTATGGGGAGAGAATCTCTTTAAGAGATGTTAATAAAATAATAGAGCATGAGGACTTAGACCTATAAGATTACATACAAGGGATGTTGCATGATGCATTTGGAGTTAGAAGTCCTAATGATGAGGTGGATGATCTGATGTATGAAGTACCGAGAGACCCAATTTAGATGTTATGAAGTTTTTCAAGTTGGTAGAAGATGTTGAAATGGAATTGTACTCGGGATGTAAATAGTTCACAAAGCTCTCTTTTATTGTTCGGTTGTTTCATATAAATTGTCTTGGTGGATGGACCAACAAGTCATTCACAATGTTACTTGAGCTGTCGAAAGAAGCATTTCCAGAGGGTAAAAGATTACTAAAGTCTTTTTATGAGACCAAAAAGATTATTGGAGATTTAGGCTTAGATTATAAAAAAATTGATGCTTGTCCTAATGATTGCATGTTATATTGGAAGAAGATAGCCAATCATGATTCTTTTGCAACATGCGATACTTCTAGATGGAAAACATTTTCTGATGATGAGGCATCATCTTCCTTCGATAAGGTTAGAAAAGTTCCTGCCATGGTGCTACGTCACTTTCCTTTAATACCAAGGCTTCAAAGGTTGTTCATGTCATCAAAAGCAGATAGTGAAATGAGATGGCATGCCGAAGGGCATATAGATGATGGGATCCTTAAGCACCCTGCTGATTCTAGTGCATGGAAAACTTTTGACTATGAGCACCCTGACTTCTCTAATGACATTCGAAACGTTAAACTTGGGTTGTCAACTGACGGATTCAATCCCTTTAAGACCATGAGCACATCCCACAGCACGTGGCCTGTTATTCTGATCCCATACAACATGTCCCGGAAGATCTGTATGAAGCAACCAAATTTCATTATGTCACTACTCATTCTAGGACCTCGAGGGCTAGAAATTGATATTAATGTGTATTTACAACTTTGATAGAAGAGTTAAAGGAATTATGGGACGTTGGTGTGGACACATTTGATGCAGTAAGTAATGCCATGTTTAAAATGAAAACAGCAGTCTTTTGGACTATTAGTGATTTTCCAGCATCTACAGACTTGTCTGGGTGGGGAACTAAGGGCAAATTGGCATATCCACCTTGTAACAAGGACAAGTTTTCTATGGTTGGAAATTTGTCATAAATTTTGTTATTTGGGTGATCGTCGGTTCTTTGATTCTAATCATAGGTTTCGGAAGGATATACAATACTTTGATGGTACACAAGAATGGAGAGATCCTCCTAATTTGATTCGTTGGATTGGTGTGTTAAAACAATTACAAGGTCAAAACATCATATATTGTAAGCCAAATCGTGACAGGGATGGCGATAGTAGCAAAGGGGGTGAAAGAAAAAATATCATATAAAATTAGAAAAAAAAAAGGAGCATCTTTTTTGAGTTAGTATTGGAAGTCTAATTTGATTCGCCACAATTTGGATGTAATGCATACAGAAAAGAATGTATGTGAAAGTTTGGTTGGAACACTTCTGAATATAGAAGGAAAAACTAAAGATCATCTCGAGGCTCATCTTGACTTACAATATATTGGCATATGACCATCTCTCTACCCAGTTCAGCAAGGAGGGAACAAGACATTTGCATCCTGCATGTTTCTCTTTGTCTCGAGAAGAGAAACGAATGTTTTGTACCATTTTGAAGCATGTTAAGGTCCCAAATAGATATGCATCAAATATTTCATGATGTGTGCATCTCAAGGATTATAAAATATCGGGACTCAAGAGTCACAATTGTCATATTTTGACGCAACAATTACTTCCTTTGGCTATACGAAGGTTTTACCCAAGAATGTGGCTGTAAGTTTGATTGAATATTGTCGGCTATTTAGGGAGTTATATTCAAAAGTTGCACATCCTAAGGATTTCGAGAAGTTAGAAGCTTGATTTGCACTAGTACTTTGTCACTTGGAGAGGATTTTTCCACCCTTTTTTTTTGACATAATGGTGCATTTGACCGTTCATGTATCAGAGGAGGCAAGACTTGGTGGACCTGTACACCATCGAAATATGTATCCCATTGAGAGGTATGTATTAATTATTTAAGGTAATTAATTTTAATATGATGTACTTTGAATTGTAATAAAACATATTTAAGATTAATTCAGGTGTATACTTATAGGTACTTATGTAGACTTAAGGGTTATATACGTAATAGAAGTCATCCAGAGGGATCAATTGTTGAAGGATACCTAGCTGAGGAATGCCTAACATTTTGCTCTAGGTATTTGCATGGTTTTGAGACAAGGCTAAGTCAACCAATAAGGAATTTTCATGGTAATGATGTTGACTCAGGTAGAATGTTCCCATTAAGGGGTCATCCTCTTGGAAATACTAGCATGGTCGTGTTGAAACGGATGACATTAACACAAGCACATTGATATGTATTGTTCAATTGTGAAGCAATTGCCCCATTTCAGATGTAAGCTGATTGTTTAATGCTATAAAAATGTCTTAGCAATGTAATTATATAGTATAACTTACAAGCCTTATGTAAAATCCAGAAAACATAAAGATGAAATTATGGCAAACAATCATAGAGTACGACCAACGGAAGTACAACGCATGCATAATGCAACATTTCTGAATTGGTTCAAGAATCATGTAAGAATTTGATGTTGACATTAATTGTCATATTAGTTTAATTATATAACTCTAACAAGTGGGCGTAGAATAATGTTTCTTATAACAAAATAGGTAAGTCAACTGGTAGATGCTGGTCATAAGCATATTTTCAATGAAATAAGATTGATGGCTCGTGGTCCTTATAATGTTGCAGAAAGATAAAAGGGATATATTGTAAATGGATATCAATTTCACACGAAAGATCTTGAGAAAATAAGAAAAACACAAAATAGTGGAGTTATTGTCACTGCAAAAACAGTAAGCTTCTCGAGTTCAAGAGATAAGAACCCTATTGACGGAGATGTCACTTATTATGGCATTCTGAATGCTATAATTCAAGTAACATATTCTGCATATTTGAAGGTTGTATTGTTCAGGTGCAATGTGACAACCCGGATTTTTTGAGATTTTAAATTGTATTCATTTCGTTATTTTTAGTTGTCATAGTTGATTATTTAATTATGATTAGAGATTTACCCCATTGAAAATTCATGTTTCAGGTTATTGGATTTGGTTTTGTTGCATTATATATATATATATATATATATTGTAGCATATGATGGATGGTGTGATGAGAAGGAAGGGAGCAGCAACTGAAATAGGAAAAGAAAGAAAGAAATGGTTGATTGCGGATCCCACAAAAAGATATTTAATGGGTTGATATATTACATTGAATATATATATATCTAGTCAATACTGTCGGATGAAGAAGGAAGCAGGCAGCCAACATTAGAAGGATAAAAAGGAAGTGATTTGATGATGAATATTGTGATAGATAGTGGCGGGACCCACTTGGAGAATTACTTAGGCAAATTTCCTTTGGCATTGTGCACACGTGGGTTTGTTAAGTGATAATGCAATCTGATGAAAGAAAGATAAGGAAGAAATATGAAGATAGGAATTAAGGAAAAGTGGTGGCGGGTCCCATTGTTGACTTTTTGATATTTGCATGTGAACTGTTGTTTGTTATGTTGGAACAAATTGCTTGTTGTGAACTGAGTTAATGGATACAGAAGAAATATAGAGGAAATACAGTGAGAGAGAGAGAGAGATGGACAGACACAGTGTGAATGTTTGATGCCTAGATAATTATTTATTTTTTAGTGTAAGGTTCTTCATACCTTGAATGGCTTGTATGATTTTGTTTCAAATATTTTATCGACTGTTATTTTGCTAAAATTACATATCTGTATTTTGTTTAAAAGTATATGTATATTTTTGTGAAGCTAATTTTTATGAAACTTCTTGATATCCTTGTTATGGTTTTTCCTACCGGGACTTCCCCCGTCTCACCCCCTTCCAGTTTCAGGTACCGAGGATGAACTTGGCTTTCTAGTTGCAAAATTAGAGTGGAGTTGTGTTGCGGGATTTATTTCATTTATTTGGAGATTTTGTGTATATATTTGAGGAAATTTGATTTCTGTATTAATAAAGGATATTTTTTTTTTTATGATTCTGGATGTATATTGACGTATTTGAGATTTAAAATCAATTGAGGATTTTATTTGAATTTTCGGGTCGTTACAGTAACTGGGTTGATGTTTTAAACCATGGTAGGGGAGTTAAGAAAGATCCATATGGTTTTATATTGGTGAATCTTTCTCGACAATGTCATACTGGATCTCAACCATTTGATGAACCTTTTGTGCTGGCATCTCAAGTTGAACAAGTGTTCCATACACAAGATCCAGTGGAGCCCGATTGGTATATGGTTACTAAGTTTAAACCATGAGATTATTTCGAAGAAGAAGGTGAATAGGTTGTTGAAGATTCAGACAAATATTAGCAAAGTGAGCCAAATCACAGTCAGTGCATGGAGGATTCTGAACCCGAAAGGGATGATAATATTAGGTGGGATAGGTCGGATCTGGTTGGGACCATAATTAATACATCAATGGTATTAAATCGGAGGCCTAGAGTGGAACAAGTAGATGACAACATGTCTTATGAAGATGATGAAGATACATAATCATAATTAAAAAGCACCAAGATGTTACTTCAATCTTCAACTCAGTGCTTTAGAATTTCAAATGTTTATCCATAAAAAAATCTTTGAACTTCTTCTCCTCATTGACATGTTTACTGCAAAATGCATAAAGTGTATTGATTACTTGATTCAGAAGAGAATTCATATTCACATATAATAGTGGAGATTGTTGAAATTGAAATGTTCTTTGTTTATTTCATATTAGAGTACATGTTCTTTTGTGTGTGCAATTGTTCGCGGCTGCTATAATGTACCAATAAAGTAACAATCAACTTTTGTTATTTCTAGAATTTGTAATAGCGGAATGAAAATGAGACATCAGAGTCCTATTTCCACTGCGGCAGACATGTTGGATTTCTTTTTGGTATTTTATGCTATATCACACTTCTAAAAATACTTGTACCAAAATGAATAAATTAAGGAGGGCTAACTTTCCATTCTTTTTTAATTGTTGTTCTGGTTGATGGATGTATGTAGAACTTGATTGTCTCATGATTATAGTGCATTTTAGTTCAGAAAGGCCCTTATCTATTTAATATAATAAAAATTGTATTGCTTGCAAAAATAAATGGGCAATAGTATCTGAATTCCTATTAAATGCATAAATAAATTTGACACTTTGTTTCTTTCATATCAAACCTTTGTACTATTAATGGCAGGGTTTTGTTAGATAGATGCCAATTGAATGACATTCTCACTCGTGCTTTGCACACTTGCTCTCTGTTCCATTCTAACATATTTTTCTTATCTAATTCATAATGTATAATCAGAAGGGAATGTCAATGTCCTTTTGTAGGTTTGCAGTAGTTAGATGTTACTAGTTGTCTTGTGAATGGTTTTATTTAATCAATTTCATGTTTTATAATTATCTCATTTTTTATTGTTAAAATTTTCAGAAAATACGAGGCATAATAAGAAAGCCAAAAGTATTAAGGGTGTCATGACTAGTGGGGCACAACAGTCACTTCAGCAACAGCGGATTCATCAGGTTGGCTCCATGCAAACACAGCACACTACTTTGTGCAAACTCTAAATACAAGTTTTATACAGAAATAACAATTTTTATTTACACAAAACTAGTCCACCTCCAATCTGGAACAGCCAATCCCTTCTTAAAATTGCAGTACTACTGAAATTGGAGGTATATGAATCTTTGAACAATATTTTAATAAAAACCATCTTGATTTTTGTAAGATTACTCTTTTTCTTAAGTAACCACTCATGTAATAGAATCATCAAGAATACATCAAAAGACTCGTGGAGACACTAGGTGCCCTGACATATGGGGCAGATCTGAGGAAGATCGTACGTTTGTTGCTTTTAATGAATTGGGGCAGCCCATTTAGGAAGAAGGCGGAATTTTTAGTCAATTTTTGGGTACTATAGCACGGAGCAGTGAGCTACTAACCTTGCATTTTATAGATTAGAGGAATTTACGTGGTTGGTTTAAAGAAAAGATCTGGAAGATAGTCTTGGTATGAAGCATTATATCAATCTGTTTATTAATACTAGTGGACGCACTGTTGTGAGATTTATATGTACTACTCGCAAGTGCACGAATCTTTGTAGATATGGCTTACTTGTAAGGGTGTCATATCCAAGAGACTTGTGTAAATTTAGTTTGTCAACAGATTTCTTAAATTCCAAATTAACTTGAAAGAATGATAATCAGATTATGATGATTTATTCTAAATTAACTAAGTAGAAAAATAAAAATGAGAATAATGATTAAATAGGATGTAGAAAATAGAGAGAGAGGATTATGGGAATGACTTTACCACTAATGTCACACCACCAGTTAATTGCATCAATTTATTGGAGATATATCATATAACATGCATAGGGAATTAATCATGGCTACAAGTATATATTTATTCAGCTAGAAAATAATATAATTTAAAACTAAGCATGGACTATCTTCAATTGATATAAACCATCTACCTAACTACTTTACTCTAGAGTGTAGCATGGTTTATCTTTTCTAGGCATAATCCATCAAATCTCTAATATTATATTCAGAGAAATACCATTGTGTAATAATCTCATTCACAACTAAAAGAAATGAATGAGTTGTGTTCAATTACAAGATTCAAATATCTAAAACAAGAAAGAAAAATATTTGTAATTGAATTAAAACTTTAAAACCGATTCTTATTGAAAGGTCAATTAAAAATCCTATAGATTACATAATCATGCATGATAAAAATTATTCTCTAATAAATAAATACAATCAAACAGTGATGCTAAGCTAGGGCTACATCACAACCTTAGCAAAGCGTTTAGCCAAGTATGACTGGAGTGGAATTTTTCGTGGTTGAGGAAGACATCTTCACCGCCATGGATTGATCCTTTCTTTCTTTTGAATGCTTCTCCTCTGATCTCAGCTTTAAGCTCCTTTGTATATGATACTCTAATGATGTAGAGAACTCCCTTTAAATAAGAGAAGATTAGCCCTAAAGTTCCCTTTTTTATATTAAAGACATACATGGAAATTCTGTCAAACAAAGACTTTAAAATTCGTGCAGACTTCCAGCCCAATTTTAACAAGGTAAATAGCTGTTTTATGAAATCCTCGTGAAATACAAAATTGTAGCTCTTCAAATTTCCTTTTAACCATAATAAGAATTTAGCTATTTTGATACTCGAGGAGAGAGATATAGGTAGATTACCAAAACGGGTTCAAGTTACCAACTTTGGTGAAAGTTTCCTTTTTGGAGAAGGATTTTTTCGTTTCTTCTTTCCATTCTTATCAACTTGTGGCTTCTTTTGGACAATTTTCTAAGTATTGGTTAGACTCGGATTTTCAACATTGCTAGGTCCCATGGAATATCTTCTTTTAAAGTTCGGAATCACTGGTCTTGACTGATTTTACAATTAAAACCCTGAAATAAATAAAAATAATAAAACAATGTAAAATCACAAATAAACTACTATTAAGATAATAAAACATGCAAGTAAAGGGGCTAAAATGTAATGACCCGGTCATTTTCCTTCTGTTCTTTTTTCGGTAATTTATTTTTTTTCGTCTTTTTCCCTATTTCGTATTTTTCTCGTTTATCATTTTTCCTTGCATAATGTAATACCCCTAATTTTTAAAAGGATATTCCTGATATTTAATTTATTATTTAAGTGCATTTTATTTGATTATGTGTCATTATTTTTTTTATTAGGTGCTTAATTGTTTTCTTTTGTGGTGATTTAATTTATTTAAATGATATTTATTTTTAGTTAATTGATTGGCATTACTTGTTAGTGTTTTAATTATTTAATTGGCATTAATGGTTTAAGTGTAATTGGTTTAGTTATTTGATTGGAATTACTTGTTAGTGTTTTAATTATTTAATTGGCATTAATGGTTTAAGTGTAATTGGTTTAATTATTCTATGTGTGTCTTATTTTATGTGTGTCTTATTTGGTTTAATTGGGTTTACTAATTATTATTTTGTTCAATTAGATTATTTATTAAGTATTTAATGATGAATAGGGTAATTAGGTAAATACATCTAACTAGGGTTTTAATTACAGTATAAATTAGGGTTTTATATTATAGCCGTCGTAGGTTTCTACGTTAATTGGATGGGCCGGTTAGGATTGTGAGTTGAACTTAAATGAATCTAGAGTTTAGGAAAACTCTATAAGTATAAAGTAGACGTCTGTGTAGGGTTTTTTTTAAACAAAGCACACGTTTTGTGGAAGTGGAGAAGGAAAAACGCAGTTTTTCACATTCTGCCAAGGTTCGATCAAAGCTCCGATCCCGCTTCGTCCGTGGTCCGATCGAGCTGAATTTTGGAGGAGAGGTTCACGACTCAGTGACGCACAATCTGAACGGTGGAGATCAGAGTTTGACCTCGGGAACAGTGATTCGTACTCGTGAACAGTAACCGGGTCGCACATGTTTTTCCATTCTGCCCAGATTTCATCAAACATCCGATCCCGCTTTGTTCGTGGTCCGATCGAGCTGAAATTTGGAGGAGAGGTTCACGACTCAGTGATGCACAATTTGAACGGTGGAGATCAGAGTTTGACCTCGGGAACAGTGATTCGTACTCGTGAACAGTAACCGGGTCGCACAGGTTTTTTTCCATTCTGCCCAGATTTCATCAAACATCAGATCCCGCTTCGTCCGTGGTCCGATCGAGCTGAAATTTGGAGGATAGGTTCATGACTCAGTGTCTCACAATCTGAACGGTGGAGATCAGATTTTGAGTTCGGGAATAGTGTTTCGTACCCGTGAACAGTAACCGGGTTTTGGAGCTCGCCGGGATTTTTTTAAGTAGACGACGTTGAAACTTTGAACAAAAGTTTCTGAGGCAAGATTCTATCCTTACTCTTTCCCTTAGGCTTCATACTCTTTGCACTCTTAAATGATTTCAGGATTAATAAAGATTAAACCAAACTAAAATGATATCTGTTTTGCTATGAAATTGGTAGTTACAGTAGTGTTGTATGCTTGTTCAACCTAGACTAAGCATGTTTGTGGATGCATTGTGGTTCTGTGGTTCACGTTTTTCCTTACCACTGCTAGTATAAATTATTGGAAGGATGGGTCTAGATGATAGCTATCTTAACTTCTGTAATAGCAACTGTTGGAACTTAAATACTAGGATGATTTGAGTTTAACACTAGATCGGTTTTGTGGAACACTATAACTTGAGCATGTCTACATACATACTGTGAATATTGTTTTGATGCTTACATTATCATAGTTAGTATCAACTGTGGAGGTTAGGATTTTGTGATACATACCCTATATATCTGTATGTCATTTGTAAGGTGTTAAATGAAAGTTTTAATTAATTTTGTCTTTATATCAGACTAAAGGGAACAACTTAAATTGGGCATGTATATGTTGTTGTTGTGACCCTGTTTATCAATGTTTATTTTATCACTGCTAATATTGAATGTTGGATGTTGGAATTTAGTTGATATATACTTGATTTATTGGTATTATTGACTACTGGAGGATTGGAAAGTAGGCACTGGTATGGGACGGTGGCATACTAAGGATGGGTTTGGTTTTTAAAACAATACCATTACCCACCTACTTGGAATAAGGATGTGATTAACTAAAAGTTAAGTCCCGTGGATTTGTATTGTCATGGCAACTACTTGTTGAGCGGCAATACCAGGGATTTTGGATGGATTTTATATATGTACTGTTATGGTGCCTCGGTATGAGCTTGAGCCTCAGGACCGATAGCTAGGGAGCGTATATGCATCAGGATGTGTAGCTTGCTACGATGGTTGGAGGTGTACCCTGTTTAGGTATAGGTACATATGCCCACTTCGTGTGCGTTTTAGCATGTTACCTCTATTCAGGTTGAGATCGGCCTGTAGTCCAGTGAGAGTCCTTTAGTGTGACTATATATATATTTACGGACTATTAGCTATTGTTGAATTGTTTAGGATGTACATGCGTATCGGGCCTCTGTTTGGATTGTAGTAGTATAGAACTTGCGCGTGGGCCTGACCCACTTCTATTTTTCAGGTACACGACAGTTCTAGGCTTAGACGTGTTCGTGCTGAGCAGAGGTCTCTATTCAATCTTCCGACGATGTAGGGCTCTCTCTATAGTTTTATTTCTGGACGTTTATTACATTTATGCTATCTTCCGTTTGGATGTTTAATAGGGGTCCACTAGAGATGGATTCCTAAGTTATAAACTGATGGAGTTTTGGAGTTTGGGTTTGATGGATTTTAATAATTATAATATTTTGCCGATTCTATTTGGTATTCCTTCCAGCTTTAATTTCATTTCTTAATTTATTTTGTATTCCGTGTTCATTATAAAATATTAATTGTTTGATATTCCCTCGGGTTTGGGCCTGGGCCTGATTAACCCGTGTCTCGGATCCGAGGGGTATCACACATAACCTCACTTTTTATGTTCGGATTTGATTCCGGTTTTGTGTATATCCATGATATTTAATTTTCATGATATCTACATTTTCACTTTTGTAGAAAAGCATGCTAGATGTTTACTTTTCTTATAAAGGGTATGGATGCATAACTTCTTGGAAATATTATTGACTTTTGGGGTTTTAGTGTAATTAAACAAAGTAATTATTTTTCGTCTTAGGGACCATTTTGAAATTTAATTTGGAAGTTATTTTGAAAAAGGACCTTTTTGCAATTTATAGAAAGTGTGACAAGTGTCACTCTCTCATGGAGCCACTTGTTGGCATTTGGAAGTTATTTTGAAAAAGGACCTTTTTGCAATTTATAGAAAGTGTGACAAGTGTCACTCTCTCATGGAGCCACTTGTTGGCATTGGGGTGGAGTAGCTTGGAAGCTTAATCTCTTGACACATGGAGGGTAGAGATTCACCCATTTGTTGGCCTAGAATTGGAGCACTTGTTGGCTTGGATGGTTGACAAGTGTAGGCTTAGGATTAAGCCTAAGAAGGAGCCATGGATTTGTGACAAGTATAGGCACCAAATTAAGTCTTGCATTATGTGTGTGTGTGAGAGGTAGTGTAAGAGCACATAGTGAGTGGAGGAATGCTAAATCCTCGACTCACCTCACTTTATTGTATCTTCCTCACCACTTTACTCTCAAACCCTAACCTAGCCTCCATTGAAGGAAAAGCTTGACTTATAGCTTTGACTTTATTTTTGGCCTCCTTCCACTCATCTTAGGCTCTTAAGCTTGGAATATTTTAACTTCCTCTCACTCTCCTCTACAAAATCCTAGTTAGGTTTTCCTTTTTGGACTTGGTTGCTTTAGATTATAGAGATTCTATTCTCTATTGAAGTAGGGGTGATTCATACTTATGATATTATTGTTATATACGTTTTATAACTTGGTACAAATGAAGTACATGTCTTTAATTTAAATCTTTAAGTTGATAGTAATGGTACCTTGAATGAAATTAAACTAAGACATGATTTTTGGAAAGGCCATGACTAGATTCATAACATACATTAATTTGGAGTCATATAGGGTTGTTTTGAAATCTAGAGAAATTAATTAATTAATTAAATTAATTTTATTTATATGTTTCCATGATTCAAATTAAGTTTTGAAGTGATATATGTAATGATCATGATAAGTTCTTTAACATATATTAAATTGAGGGTATTTGGATGAGAAATGAAATCTAGAGAAATTAATTATTCTATTTAATTAATTTTCATCCTTGTTGTATTAATGAATTGGGTTTGTATTTTATGTCGATTACATGTTTAAATCGTGATTTTAGACTTGTATTATATTTGTGAGACTATGTTCTTAGTATTGAATAATATTTTTATAGAATGCAATAAGTTGTACAATGATGATTCAACATTCTTCATGCCATAGTAGTTATGAACTTAGAGCATGTATTGTGTTTCCAAAATTGGCTTGTGCATGGTAGATGGTTTTACATTGTATATATATGTTGTGTTGATATATATGTGTTGTTACACAAATTGTTAATTTTAAAAACTTGGGACGTCGTTGTTATGACTACGGCTAGGGCATGATTCTAGTACGGGGGATTGTCTCTCTACAAGTCTAGTGCGCACATAAGGAGGTTACCCGTGGGCTAGTAACCCTAAAGTAACTATATTGTCGGTCTGATCCGGTGTGATATCCGAGTATCCACTTTGGTTTGATTTCGTATTTAAATTCCAAGTTGATAACCTTGTGAGTTTGCATGTTGTTTTATTGTGTTGGAAGTTTCAATGTCGGTTAAACACTTTGGATTAAATTGTATGAATTGCAAGTTGTATTAAGTTTATGCATGCTCATTCCCTACGAGTAAACTTGTTTACTCATCCCAAAGTTACCAGGTTGTTTTGTAGGTAAAGAGACTTTGTTTTAGAATGCATCACATCCCTAAGTTGCTTTGACGCCTTGATATATTTTGTTGTATTTTGGAAAACATGCAAGGGTTAGCATGTAGTATCATTTTGGTGTAAAATGCTATTTTTACCTTGAAATATGTAATGTGTACCTAATGTCACGGGCCTAAAGATTTGGCGCAGCGGCACGGCCCGTGCGGCACCAAGGCGTTGCTTCAGCTCGCGCAAGCGCCCTGGTCAGCCACCACGACCTGCCCTCCCAAGGATACATGCTGACTGGTTTCGGCCTGCCGTGGCCTTGTCAGGGGAACGGCTCCAACTCCCGACCAGTTTGTGCAGGGATGGCCAACTCCCTTCTTCATAGTCAAGTCCACGACTAGCGACAAGCACCTCGAACTGAACCGAGTCGACCTGCCTGAACTCTAAAGAGGTACCATCCTGTGGTCCTGCACGCCCCTTCCCTGGAACCATTCCCAGTCAATGAATGTTCTTAACCAACCAGCATGCGTGTCTTCTATGCTCATGGCGTCGTTAGGAATCGGATCGTGACATTCTGCCCCACCCAAATCCTGCGACGCCCTCGTTGCAGTGCGGCGCTGACTCCGCTGCGTCCAACATTCCAAAGTCTCTCTCCTCCAAGTGGTATGCTCGCCTGCCCACCATCGCTTCCTTGTACAACCCCGAAGGGCGCCTAACATGCACCAACACAATTTATCACTGACGCACCGGGTTGAATAAAACTTGGGTCATTACATAAAATGTATAACATTCAGCGCCTAACATGCACCAACACAATTTATACTTCGTAGGTCCAACTAACTTTGTTTTATGTGTTTTGAATTTGTGGTAGGAAAAGTTTATCATTCTAGAGTATGCTAAATCATGGATACTGAAATCGACCGGTAGGAAATGGAGTAACTTTAAATCTAACTTGAAGAGAAAGCATTACAAGAAACATACGACTGATGCGAAGTGATTGAATGATCACGATCAAGTTCTGCCAGAGCAGTGGTATTACCTAATTAAATTTTGGAACTCAGACAAAGGACAGGTTTAAAACACACATTCCCTTTTTATTGTTGATGGAATGATGTTAGATTAGATGTTTAATTTCTCTTATCTTTCTCTAAATAATGTTTTAACATGTTTTTCTTATTTTTAGGAGCATAGCAATACTAATACTATCAGTCGTTTTAAGCAAAAATATGCTCACACAGTAGGGTCAAAAAGCTTTGCGCGAATACGCGAGGAAGAGGTAAGCTATTTTGTGCATTATGTTTATGTGAGAATGTTTTGGTAATCTAATTTCCAAATAATTATTCTGAACTTTAATGTTAATTATTTATTTGAGGATAACGTAAGAAGAGGCCTAATGAAGGGGAACCAACTCGGATAGAGATGTATATACTAATGCACACGCAGAAGAATGGACGACCAATGGATGGAGCATCTGTAGAAATTATTGTAAGATATGTTCGTGGAATTTGGACTTTGTAGTGGATTCTTTTTTCATAATAGTACATATAAGATTAAATTATAGCTTACTTTATATTATGGTTGTATAATGCAAACATTTGCCCCCCCTTTTTTTTTTTATAATTTTTTTTTTATTTTTTATGTAGAATAAGCTTAAAGAATATGCAACTTAGCAACCAGAAACTTCACAACGCCGTCCTACTAAAGATGACATCTTTTCCCAAGTAGTTAACGAAGATAGACATGGCCTGGTTAGCACGTATGGCTTGGGTTCCTCTCCGTTAGATCTTTGGGGCACAACACCTAGTCAAGTGAAGTCAATGAAGATGGCTTCAGAGGCTAAAAGGTCTTGTGAAGCAGAAGTACATGATTTAAAAGAAGTGCAAAAAATGAAGCAACTAATAATTGGATTGCAGGGCCGGATGGATGCTAGAGATAACCAAAATCAAACGGCTGCACATACTAAACAATATACCACTCGAACTGCCCCCACCAATACTCAACAAGTAACTTCATAGCAAAATGATAAATTTCAAAAGCTTCCTTATCTTTTTACCATTTATAACAATTTTTCCTATATATGCCAAAGGCCTTGTTATATGGTTTAATAACACCCTTAATTTAGTGAATGATGGAAATTTTTAGGTACCAGACCTGGAGCTGTTTTGAATAAACACACTAATCACTCTTCTGCCAGAGATTAGCACTATTGTTTTTTAAGTATCCATTCTTTTGAAATTTTTTATTTTCTCATTGTTCTGGTTTTTATATAGAGAAATGATAGGTTTTTGGACCTCAATTGCCTCCTCCTCTTCCGAGTACAACGTGGTTGGGAATGAGTCGAATTTTACGGGATTATTTTTTAAGAGTTCCAACGTGATTCAACCACATTGTATTTGGAGGAAGAGTCGGCAATTAAGGTCAGAAGACCTATCATTTCTCTTTTTTATATATGTTGCTCTTTTTGGGAGGGAATTTTTCTTTTACTTTATGGCTTTTCTAAGTTTGACTTTTTAAAATTTTTTTAATAAGATGTTGTATCTTGATATATTGTTAAATCTTAACTACAAATCTGCTAATTGCTAACTGGAGTATAAATGGGGGTGGGGGTAATAACATTGTTTTAGATGAATAAAATTTACAAAACTGCTAATTGCTAACTGGAGTCTAAATAAGGGTGGGGTGCTTACTGCTAACACTAACACTGTTAAAGATAAATAAAATATAGTAAACTGTTAATACGTCATCCTAGGAAAGTTGTTTGAACAGTAATTAATTGAGCCTCTTTCTCATTTTTTTTTTTTTTTAAGGGCCAGACAGATGGTGGGTATAACCCATACCAACAAACTGCTCCAACTCAGCAATTTGTTGCTCGTTCTTAGCCTATGAAAAGACAGCAAGTAATGAAAACCTCCGATATAATAAAGCAATGGATAATGCTCTTCACTGATGTACATTATTATCCATCAATTGTCATAATGCATTAGGGCTTCAAACAAAAATAAAACAACTAAGAATTAGAATGTAGGTCCAGATGGATGGTAGAGATAACGAAAACCAACCCGCTGCTTATAATGAACAATATTCATATACCACTCAAACTGAGCCTATCAATACTCGTCAGGTAACTTCATAGTAAAATGATAAATTTCAAAAGTTTTCTTATCTTTTTATCATTTAATTGAACCTCATTTTTGGGTAAGGCCGGATGGATAGTGGGTATAACCCACACCAACAAACTGCTCCAACTAAACAATTTGTTGCTCGTTCTCAACCAATAAAAAGACGACAGGTAATCATTCTATCCCATTCTAATCTACCTCGCCAAGTCTATCTCATTATAATCTACCTCTCCTTAATGGATATATCTAACGTGAAATGCATTTGATTTATCTTGAATTATTTTTATTAACTTGAATTTTTTTTTTGTTTTAATAGGGCATGAGTGAAGTTTTTTTTGTCAAGTCTCAGAAAGCCCGATGTCATAGTAGCTCGAGGAATGCTTTTGAATAAGAACTCGTTCAAAAGTAAAGGCCATTGAATTGGGACATCATAATTGGGAGTAAGTGTTACCATTCCAATCATGCCAGAAGAACCATTACCTATTGCTTCTACACGTTTCAAAACCATTAGAGATACAGCTGGAGCTAGTGTTTCTTGGCCTTCTGCTTATGTAAGTATAACTTCAATTATCTTATTTTAGTAAAATGAAGTAATAAGTGATTGTCCCATGTATGTGTATCAAAAGGAAACTAGTGTATGTACATTGGCTGGGTGTTAACTATGTTTTATATATGTTTGATGGACTGAAATCATATAATTGGCTGGGTGTTGACTATGTTTTCCAAGTATTCTAAATTAAAGAAGTAAAGTCTATAGATTCATTCATAGGCCTCCTTAAAAATTAGTTAGGCCTTCACTTACAAAGCTGAAAGACTAGAACATTCTCATTTGAATGCTAATAGTTTACTAATGGTTTACTTCAATGTATAAAACATTATAGACTCTATTCCTGCTTGTTATAGTTGAATTGGGGTGAGCCTATTCTATTTGTCTTGTTGGTTTACGCTATCACTCAATATTTGATATAATGTTATGAATTAAAAAAAAATAGTGCTTTTCAATTTATAAAACATTATAGACTTTATTCCTGCTTGTTACAGTTGAATTGGGGTGAGCCTATTCTGTTTGTCTTGTTGGTTTACACTATCACTCAATATCTGATATAATGTTATGAATGAAAAAAATAGTGCTTTTAAGTTCCCAGAAATTATCTGTAAAAATAGAGTTACGGGGGGTGCGGAAATAGTTTGTTGATTTTAATTGTGATTAACTTCTTTAATGACCTAGATCTGATTATTAGGTCAACTTGCTCAATTTATGATTGATTAAATTATATGATCAATTTAAACATCCACAATCACAAATATATGTAAAGTAAAGCAAGTTAGAGTTAAAGAGATTGCACCAGGATTTTTAGCGAGGAAACCCCAGTTGATAAAATATGTCAACTGTTTGCATGGGAAAACCTAGTGGACTATTCAGTCCAAAGTAAATCGATCCACTATGTTTGAAACAAAGTACACCGAACTTTGACTCTGGCTCACACTCTATCGTTCTACCAAACACCAATTATTGACAATCCTCTAGCTTTGGGACTCCCTGTCCAGCAGCAACTTCACCTCAAGCTTATACTTGATATTTGTAGAAGAGTAGCAGGTAGATTAGATAACACTCCTCAAATGCTCCAACCCTTGAAAAGTGTGATCGCTTTTACTTCTGTTCTTCAAGATCTGAACTCGATGTAGAAGAATTAAATCCTGCTCTTCATACAGAATCTCTGAATCTTCAATATAGCTCCAATTCCGATGAGATAGAGAATAACACTACTAAATCACTCCTGAATATATGTGTATGCTCTCATAAATAAATTCAAAATAATTAGATTTGATTTTCTAAATTTTCTCTCTCTAAAAGGCTTTCTCAAAATATAGAATTGATTTTCCCTAAAGCCGTGAATAAACCTATGTGTATGACACGGTTTATATAGAGTTTAGAATGTCCTAATCCCTCTAAAAATATTAAAAATTTTGTGCATAGGACTTAGAAAGAAGTTGGGATCAAAAAGAAAACAATCAAACAAGGTAACTAGACACCTGATGTTGCCATGACTACTTAAACCGGTTCAGAGGGGCTGAACCGGTTCAAGATGACCAGTAAAGAATCCCTCGGATTCTTGAACCAGTTCAGCCCCCTTAAACCGGTTTAAGATGGCCAGTCTTGAAACTTTGGCAATTCTGCTAATGTTAAACCTGTTCGATAAATCTTAAACCAATTCAAGATGGATAGAATGTAAAATCTTATTTAAAACATTTCAAAACCCTTTCTAAATGTTCTCACTACCTCTCAAAATTCCTAAAACATTGTTCTCATCATCTCGGAATGTAGTATATCATGAACACTTGAACTTCTTCAAATCTACATCCGATCTTCAATCTTCAAAATTTTGAACTGAAAAATTACAACTCGATCGGACTTGTTTTAACAACGAAATTAGATAAATATAAAAATATATCTCACAGTCTCCCCCTTTGGTAATTTCGTGACAAAACCCTAAAAACAATTCAGCAATCTACCTAAGCAGGAAAAAAAATTACAATGATTGTTAAAGGAAATAATTCACAGAATTTTTTCTTGAATTGTATGAATCTTCAACACATGTAGCAACCTGTAATTTGCACATTAGCTCAAACACAACTACCCGTGAAGCTTAATCAAGAAAATAAACACAAGCATAAAAATAACAAATTATCAATGCCTGAGTATCAACGTAAATGTAAACACATGCAATGATAACAATGGTTCTTATACCCCTTAATGCAAAAAATTCTCCCCCTGAATGATAAGAATGACAAGACTTTAATCTCTATCTCCCCCTTTTTGTCATAAATTAGCAAGGGTCTCAAGAAAGAAATGTTGGACCAAGAGGGGGGTTGAATTGGTCAAAACCTTTTTCAATATGAACTTAATGGCAATCAAAACAAGTAAGCAATAGGCAATGCAACAAAATTTACAAGGAAACCCTTTCAATTAGGGAAAACCTTGGTTCTTGGCCAATGCCAATTCAATCATCCACTAGCTACAAGTAAGCTGTTATACACTCAGCTGTCTCACTCTCTGCACACACCCTTGTCACAGAAGTAGACACTAGTTTTCACACACTCTACTCACACACTACTTCAATACAGTGTATACACACACTCGCCCTATCCTAGGCAACCCTGCCTGGACCAAACAAGCTCTTAAAACTCATCAACAACATCATAGCAAGTGTAAAACAATAAGCACAAGTCCTTCCTACAATTAAAATAGGGCAGACAACTCAAAATACCAAATTACCACTTCAAATCATCAATCTGCTGCATTCTGTGTGTGAAGGGTAAAATAGGAATTTCCTCTCGAGATTCATTCAATAACCTCATACTCAGTCTTCATTCACTGTGGTACTCATGATCATACCTTTGAACATTGAATTATATCATGGGAAAATCACAAAGTTCATTACAACCCTTATTTCAGCAAAACACATTTTAAGCCCTAGGGTTTGAATATTGAAAATTGTAGCTAACCAATATTCTGTCATAAGGTCAACTTTAACAGTCTATATTCATCAAAATATACTTGCTAGTAGATTAAAATCTCATAATATAGCAAGGCATAATCAATTAGTGCTTGAATCCAAGAATAAACCAGTGAATTAAGCAAAACAGGTGAGCTCACTGTCTAAATTTGATTTCAGCATGTTTTCAACAAAACTTTGTACTGAGCAAGTGTAAATAGGTGAATTATACCTGTGTTAACCCTCAGACTAGACCACAGCACCTTGGAACTCAAATTCACTACTCAGTCCAGCCCTTGCAGCAGCAATAACAATAGTAGTAGCATCTCCTCAGTTAATACACTAATAAGGCTTGAATCAGTGAGGTTTTATAGTATGAATCATCATAAAAACACTCAAAAAATCAAGTTCATTCAATACTCTCGAGAGAATATAGGCTGTAGCTCAATTTTCCATTTCTCTCAAAGGGCTTAAACCCTAAAATAGCTATAACAGCATATTAATGCATAAGACTTCATACACCCTCAAAATAAACCTGTCACCTCTAGCCAATCATTGATAGAGCACAATGCAGATATTTTCAGGAGCTAGAACCAATCACAGAAGGCTACTTCAGCTATTTTGTCACCTTGCACACCAGAATTCACACATATACACTACAAAGCTACACATTTTATTCTGCTCAAGACTTAGCCTCTAAGAAATGCAATATTCTTGCATATTCACTTTCTTTAGGACCACTGAAATGTGTCACACTTATGAGCATAGTAAGAAAGTACCAAAATACCTTTGCAACAGATTTTAAACTTCTCAACTAAAAAAAAGTCCCGAGACTGTTCAAAGAGCAATGTAGATTCAATCAAGCCAATCCAGTGTAATGCAACTACCTGAGCATACGTATATATATTGAATATAACTGAGAAATGACAGTGCTACCCCTGAAACCACCTGTAGTAACTTTTCATGAACTGAGTCCACATTTAACATAGCAGTTTCAGCTAAAACAGGTAAACACACTATGATTTACACACTAAGACTATTGTGCAGGATTAATCACTGATGAGAAAATGACCACATTGCCCTTGAAATTTATTTTAAGCAAAATTGAGAATTAATAAGTCCTTTGAACCCACTGATAAACAGGTTTTTAACATTAATGAGGCAAACAGTACCTAGGGGACCTTAGGACCAACAATTTCCCCTTTTGCCTTTAATGACAAAAACTTTAACATGAAATAAGACCTCAGTGAAGCAAATTCAACCAAAGTGATACTGAAAATTAATAAGTATAGTAACAATAACACCAAACCAAGAAAAGGGATAGCTGAAAAACTACCCTCCTTATTTCAGTCCATTCTCCCCCTTTTTGACATTGAAGGACAAAAGGTGAGAAGGACCAACAATGATAAGCTTAGAAAGGTGGTTGAACAACCTTGAAAAGAGCTCTAAGGGTTGAAAATATTGAGGGAGAAAAGGTTTGTAATGATATCTGCTAATTGATCTTCAGTTGGTAAATAAGTAATGTCAATGAGACCTTTTTGGACTTTGTTTCTAAGAAAGTGATACCTGATGTCAATATGTTTGCTCTTCCAGTGAAGTGTGGGATTCTTACTTATTGCAATGGCACTTTGATTATCACACTAGAGCTTAGGAGGACCTGGGAATTGAAGACTAAGATCTACAAGAGTAGTGTGCATTCAAAGAAGTTAGGAACCAGCCTGAGAAACAGCTATGTATTCAGCTTTTGATGTAGATAAAGAGACAGTATCGTACTTCTTGCTTAACCAAGAGACTAAGTTGGAACCAAGAAGATAGCAACATCCTGATGTACTTTTTCTGTCAGGTAAGGACCCACCCCAATCAGCATTTGAAAAGGCTGTAATAGACAATGTGGGTGAGAAAAGATAAAGTAGACCATAGGAGATGGTACCCTTAACATATCTAAGAATCCTTGTAGCAGTTTGAAGATGAGAGATTCTTGGATTGCTCTGAAATCTTGTTACAAAGCCCACAGAATACATAATATCAGGTCTTGAAGATGTGAGATACAATAAACTTCCAATGATAGACGTATAAAGAGTAGAAGGGACAGATTATGTGGTACACTCAAGAGAGAGCTTGGTATTTGTAATACCCCCATTTCTCAAAAGGATATTATTGGATTTTAATTATTGTTTTATGTGCATTTTAATTGATTATTTGTTTTATGTACATTTAAATGTTTAATATCTAGCTATATGTTTAATTGTAATTGTTTATTTAGTTTAAATTCATTGTTTAATTTAATTGGTGTTTAAGTGACGTGTTTTATTTAATGGCTTGTGTGACTTAGTTAGTTTATATTTTGTAGGTGTCATATATAGTTTAGGGTTTTAATTTATGTAATTAGGTTATCCATCTTATAATTAGGTTGGGAATTAAAATTAGGTTTTAAGTAAATGCCTATATATATTGAATGGTATACGTCGGCTAGGGTTGGAAAATAAACCCTATTCATGTAAGGGTTCTTGAGAGAGAACAGAGAGAGGCTTGAGTGAAACATATAGAGGCTCAAGGAATTATTGAAGGGAGTTACTGGTGGGTTGAACCAAGAAGTAACAGAGGAATGGAACAGTGATCAGAGGAGGAGAATTACTTGGGGTTGCCGGAACTTAGAGACGACGTTGAAAGGTTTCAAACTGAAACCTAAAGGCAAGTTCTATTTCTATTTCCTTCCCTTAAACCTGTGTTTTGTGCATGCCTAGGTAGTCTCCAGGAACTTTAAGTTATTAAAAATTAACCATATATGCATGGTAAAACTTGAATTATAGTATGTTAATTGTATGTGTATATGTTTGAATTTTATTTAAAGTTTATTGCATAAGTTGTGATTTTAACTTGTTTAAATTATACATAAGAGGTTTACATAATGTTTAGGGTTGTTCTGGACTTAAAACAGTAGTTTTAGGACCTTAACGGAGGAAGACGTAGTCGCCGGAGCCGTGGAAGACGAAATGTCACAGTTCGGTCGACCGATTTAGTGCACACGTCGACCGGTTTGCATGAACCAGTCAACACCGTGGTAATTCGGTCGACTGGTTGGTTGAAACCGGTTGAAACCTTGGGGGAAAAACGTTAACTGGTTATTAAACCAGTTGACATCTATGATGAATCAGTTGACATCGTTTAGATTCAGTGGATTTTTGCAAACCAGTTGACATCTAGGGATTTTACATCAATCGGTTTAGGCGAACCAGTCAACATCTAGAATTTTACATCAACCGGTTTAGGCAAACCAGTCAACACTTGGGATTTTACATCAACTGGTTCATGGAATCGTCATATAGGTTGTCCAGTGTTGGATTTTGGCACTGGAGTTGGTTTCTAGGGATGGTTGGGCCTGGTTAAATAATTTTAATGAATTTCTAGGACCCGACAATTAACTGGAATGCATAATATAAAATAGTATGCTAGGTTTGGGATAAAATTAATATAATGGTTAGTTTATGGATATTGTTTTACACTATTTTAAATCAACCAACTGAATTGAAATAGTTTAATCATGCTCTGGATGTTTTACAGTCTATTTGAGATGCCTGTTAATTTCTTATTCTGTAATTAAATACGTACTACTTAGAACTGTTTTATTGTTTAGATTAAATGTAATAATTGAATATATGATATTATTCATGATATTCTGCACTATTTGATGTACCGTTTTATATTTGTACGTCATGGATTAGATTAATGTGCTCAGTTTATATTTCTGATTAGCATTATGTCATGTCTCGGATTCAAGGAGTGTCACACTTACTTTGGGTTATAATTGCTGAGATATTAAACTATAATCTACAATTACATGGATTACGGTTTTGGAATTTAATTGCTGAAATATTAAACTTGATTCTACAATTACTTGGATTATTGATTTGGACTTCAATTGCTGGACTATTAAATTATGTCTGTCAATTACATGGACATTATGCTGGATTTTAATTGATGAACCATAAAATACTAGTGTTATCAATTATATGGATATTGGGGATGTATTTGATGTTCAATTGAATGTGCATCATTTATAGATCATTTGCATTATATACACCGGTATGGGACGATGACATATTGGAAATGGATTAGATCAAAAAGCTAAGTCCTACTTTTTCATACATACGGAATGGATTAACTAAAACAGTTAAATCCTACATGAATGCATGTCCTGTCAACTAATGTTATCAATTATATGGATATTGGGGATGTATTTGATGTTCAATTGAATGTGCATCATTTATAGATCATTTGCATTATATACACCGGTATGGGACGATGACATATTGGAAATGGATTAGATCAAAAAGCTAAGTCCTACTTTTTCATACATACGGAATGGATTAACTAAAACAGTTAAATCCTACATGAATGCATGTCCTGTCAACTAAAACAGTTGAACGACATAACAGATGGTTGTTCTACTTTTTTGTATTAGGAAGGAAATGAATTATGAATACAAAATCTTATTTATTTTTAGTCTGTGCAGTTGAACAAGCTGAACGACTAACTGGATTTCTTACGGATGTTTAGTCTGTGCAGTTGAATAAGCTGAACGACTAACTGGTTTTCTTAGGGATGGATATGAGAGAACTTTAAATATATATCATTATGGTACCATGATATGGGCTTGAGTCTCTTGATCACGGTTAGGGTGCGTATATCGCCTTGGATGGATAACTGGACCTAATGACGTTCCCTGGTTGGTCTAAGTGTGTATGACTACGCTACGTGCATTTTGTGTGTTACCTTCTACTCAGGTGTGATGACTATAAGTTAGTGAGTATCCTATAGTGTGTATCTATATCTATATGGACTATTTTAGTTATTGCCAAGCTATCTAGGATGTATTTGCGTATCGGGTTTATGTATGGATTGTAGTAAAATGGAACTTGCATGTGGGCCTGACCCACTCTTATTTTTCAGGTATTCGTCAGTACCAGGCTTAGAGCTTGATCGTGATAAAGCAGATATAGACACTCACTCTTCCGACTACATAGGAGTTCCTTTATTATTTTAGTTTTGGATTTTGGTTCTGTATTTCATTTACAGTTGGGGATTATTAGGGGTCCACTTGATGTGTTCTCGAGTTGTACGGATTGGAAAGATTAAGTTATATTAATGTTTTTATTCTTTTGAGGATTTTTCATATTAGAATTCTTTTCAGCTTATTATTTTATTTTAAATTCTTTTGTATTCTTGCTTGTTTACATATTAATTATTTGGTATCCCTCGGATCTGTGCTCGGACTTGATCACCCGTGGCGCTAGAATCGAGGGGTAATCACAGTATTAGGACATAGTGGAGTTGAAACAGGCTTGCAATCATTCATATTAAACTTTTGAAGTAGCTTAGAGGCATACTTCTGTTGAGAAATGAAGATCCCTGTAGAAGTTTGATGGATTTGAAGACCTAAGAAGTATTTGAGAAGTCCCAAAAGTGACATTTCAAATCTGGTTTTCATTAAATTGGCAAACTTTAAGGCTAAAGAGATATCTGAGCCACAAAGCATGATGTCATCAACATAGATTTGAAGAATAAGAAACTGATATTGATGAAGTTTGACATAAAGGGTGCTATCTACTTTTCCTTTATAAAAACCTTGCTCAACCAAGAACTGATGCGGCCTTTCATACCAAGCCCTTGGAGCCTGTTTAAGACCATACAAGGCCTTATTTAGCTTGAAAACATAAGATGGATACTTAGGATCTTCAAAACCTTCAGGTTGTTCTAGATACACTTCTTCATTTAGCTTTCCATTCAAAAAGGCAGACTTAACATCCATTTGATAAACTTTGACTTGTTTGTGATAAGCAAAGGACAAGAGCATTCTAATGGATTCCATCCTAGCAGCTAGGGCAAAGTTTCATCATAGTCAATACCAGCTTGTTGAGAATATCCTTTACACACCAATCTAGCTTTGTTTCTTAGAATTGACCCTTTTCCATCCAGCTTGTTTCTATAAATCCATTTGGAACCAATAACATTCTTAGCTGTAGGTCTAGGAATCAATGTCCAAGTGTCATTTTTGTGAATTTATTCAAGTTCTTCTTTCAAGGCAGCAATCCAATCTTCACTTTTTTGTGCTTCAGAATATGATTTTGGTTCAATTGAGGATAGCATTGCAAAATGACTGTATTTTTCACCATTATCAGCTTCTAATTCAGTGAGTCTCTTCTTGTTTCTTGTTTGAACACCAGCCTGAGATGATCCAATGATGTTTTCAGCTTGAACTATTTTTGTAACTCTATAAAATAACCTCCCTTTGATTATCAGACCCTGAAGTGGATTGAATGGTTTCATTTAGACCTTGATTGAAGAAGAGGGACTTGCTTCTATTGATCCTGGTATAGAACAATTGTCATCACTGATACTGGACTGAGGACTTTCATCGAATTTGACATGAACTGATTCAACAACTTTGGAAGATCTGAGATTATAACATCTGAAAGCCTTGCTTTTGATAGAGTAACCCAATAATATTCCTTCATCAACTTTAGAGTCAAATTTCCCCAAGTTGTCTATATGATTGAGAATGAAACATCTGCTACCAAACACCTTGAAGTAATGGACTGTTGTAGGCCTTCCACACCATAAATCAAAAGGAGTTTTAGTTGAATTCGGTCTAAGAAGCACCCTGTTGGTGATGTACACAGCAATATTAACAGCTTCAGCCCAAAATCCCTTTGCAAAACCTTTTTCAAGTAGCATAGTTCTCCTCATTTCCTATACAGTCCTATTCTTCCTTTCCACAACCCCATTTTGTTAAGGAGTAGCTACAGTTGAGAACTCTATCTACCCTTTACATCACAATAGTTTTCAAATTCTCTCATGGTAAACTCAGAACCAAAATCAGACCTAAGCCTCTTCATAGCACAACCCCTTTCATTCTCAACAAGATTCATAAACTTAATAAAGTGTGTAATGGTATCAAAATTTTCTTTCAGAAAGTAAACCCATACCATTCTACTGAAATCATCGATGAGTAGCATAAAATACTTACTTCCACCAATGTTTGTAGTTCTGGTAGGACCACAAAGATCCATGTGTATCAAATCAAGAGCTCTAGATGTGTTGATTTGTTTGGAAGGGAATGATACCTTAGTTTGTTTACCTTGTTGACAGGCTTTGCAAAGATGATTCTCACTGAATTTTAGATCAGGTAGGCCTTTCACAGCTTTAAGCTTCAAGATTTTGGTTAAATTTTTTGAGTGAAGATGACCTAATCTCTTGTGCCATAGTATAGCTTCATCAAAAATGGTTAAATTGCATTGAGTAGCTTCTTCAGTAATAATGTAGACATTTCCAGAGGATCTACAAGCTGAGAATAAAACCTTGTCAGATTTAATATCAACCACATTGTATTTTTTTTTGTCAAAGTACACCTTTCCATTGTCACATAATTGGCTGACACTTAAGAGATTATATTTGAGGCCTTCAACAAGTAGCACTTCTTTAATCTCAGGCAGTTCTCCAGTTTTGCTTACAATACCAGTGCTTATAATTTTTGCTTTTTGATTATCTCAAAAGATCACATTTCCACCATCAAAATTCTTCAGAGAAACAAACTTGGAACCATTACCTGTCATGTGTCTAGAGCAGCCACTGTCAACATACCATTTATTGTAAAAGTTACCTTCCTTGAAGGCTGTATACACCAACATACTCACCGCATTCATCTTCTTGGGCATCCATATCATCTTGGACTTCACAAGAGATCCTTTGCTTTTGACCTTCTGAGCTTGAGTCAAGTCAGATTTCTTCACACACATCTTGGTAACTTTGAAGTTTTTGATGAATGATGTAACAAAATCACTTCCATTCAACCTTAAGTTGTTCTAGGTGTTGTCAAGTATATCGTACCTTGATTTCATTGGTTTTACAATTGGAAACTTTGCATATACCTCTCTAGTGGTGGCCTTAAGAAACACAGAGTGGTTTTGTTTAACTTTGGTTGCAGTGTCATAGATGTAACCAATTCTAGTCTTTTCAATTTGCTTTGTGGATTGCTTCCAAATCTCAGCCATTTTCATAGACCTTTCTTTCATGAATCAGTGAGAGTTCTTCTTTACATCTTTTGGTAGACCATTCAGTATAGGATTGAGACTTCATTAGACTTGAGAAGATAAGAGAAACTGAACACAAGGTTGACAGCTTAAGTTTGAAGTGTTTAGCAAGAAGTTGTTTGGATTTTTGCAATTCATAACTGAGGGCTTTCAGCTGAGACTTTTGTTGACTGCACTTCACAGCAAGTCTCTCACATTCTTTAAGTATTTCTTCAATCTCTGAATCACTGTCTTCACTATCTTCTTCAACTTCAGTTGCTGTCTGTGGTGTTTCAAGAATAGCCATAAACAAACACTTATCTTTTTTTGATTTTTCAGGTTTTTTTTCTTCTGAAACTGAATCCCAATCTGAAATAAGAGCCTTCCTTCTAAATCTTCCCTTGAAGTTTCCCCCTTCTTTCTTCCTTGGTTTTGCCCTTTTGAAGTTAGATAACTTAAGACATAGTGGTTAGGCTTGCCACAACCATAACAAGTTAGATTTTGGGATTGACTTCTCTTCTTAAACCTGAATTTTTTGAACTTCTTTAATAGATAGGCCACTTTATCCTCTTCAAGATCATCTTCTTCAGACTTTGGTTCAGATTCTTCAGTAACTTCTTTGGCTTTAAGTGCAGCTTCTCTTCTTTGAATAGTTGGAATTCCAATTCTCATTTCATAGGCTGTAAGAGAAGCTTGTAGATCATCAATCTTTATTTGAGATAAGTCTTTATCCTCAAGAATTATAACCTTTGCATTGAATCTAGGTGTAAGAGACCTAAGTATCTTCTTGCAAACATCAGAGTCTTTAATATCTTCACCAAGGGATTTTATGTTATTGAAAATGTCATTGATCCTAAACAAATACATAGCCACATTTTCCCTTTCCTCCATCTTACAAGCTTCATATTGAACTTTATAGAGCTGAATCTTGTTTTCTTTAATAACAGTACTTCCTTCATGAGCAGCCTGAAAAGAGTCCCACATTTCCTTAGCTGACTTGCAATTCTTGACTCTAGTGAACTCTTGTTGCTTCAAAGCACAGTAAAGGACATGTTTGGCTTTACCATCATTAGCCATAGCAATTTTATCAGCTTCAGAGGGATTTTCAGGACTAAGAATCACAATACCATGCACAGCAGCATGCCAAACATCATAAGAGTGAGACATTAAGAATGCTTCCATTCAGATTTTCCATGAATCTTAGCTCACACCGCTGAACCTTGGAGCTTTGTTTGCAACTTGGCCTTCATCCATTGTTAAGATTAACTACAGGCTTGCTAGAACCCTATACAGCAGACTAAAGCTATGATACTAATTGTTGGACCAAAAGGGGAGTGAATTGGTCAAAACCTTTTTCAATATTAACTTAACAGCAATCAAAGCAAGTAAGTAATAGGCAATGCAATAGAATTTACAAGGAAACCCTCTCAATTAGGGAAAACCTTGGTTTTTGGCCAATGCCAATTCAATCATCCACTAGCT